CTTATAGTTTCGGAAAAGTGTTTCCTTTGAACATATTTTTCCCATCTTAGTTTAGCCAACTGGATTTCTTCAGCAGTCACGTTAGTTGTGGTATGAACAATGGATTGTCTTCTACACTTAGAAATAAATCTTTCGCAGAACGCTGTTACTCGTAGTAGTTTATTCAGAGTCGAAAATCGTTTGACATCAATTCCATATGGAGGTTCTAAGATCCTTTCTTCAGCTGTCTCATTAAACGCTGTTAATTCTTCTTTAACTTCATGAATTTCTTCAGTGGGATTAAAGTTCTAGTTCGGCCATTGGTTTTCAGGCAGATTAAACCACTGAGGTCCTGACCATCACATTTGACAGCTGCAAAGTTCGTTAACATTCATGCCACGAGTTGCTACATCTGATGGATTAGTTTCAGATGGAACATATTTAAATATAACATCTTTATTTGCCTTTATTTCAGAAACTCTTCGTTCAGTGAATTTAGGTAAAATCTTAGTTGTTTTAATCCAATGTAAGACACACTGGGAGTCGGTCCAAAGAAACTTTCTTGAAACTGGCTGTTCTAAATTCTTCTCCACAAAGTTCAAGGCACGCGAACCTATTAAAACCCCAAGTAAAGGGTGTCCCAATAAGAACGCCGAATTTGAAATGTTAATGAACCATATATTTTCACGCTAAAATTACAATATGAAACATGAATCTTAAAGCATAGTATCTCCGATTAGTAATAACATATTATGTATTGTAAGTGCCCATACCTGCTGCCTGCTGACAAGCCCGACATCTCTTGACAAAGTTTTCCATCACTTTTTCACACACTTCCTGTTGAATGACACGATTAATTTCCTCCTTCAGGTCTTGGATTGTTTGAGGATTATTGACGAAAACAAGTGACTTTAAATATCCCCAAAGAAAGTAGTCACATGGTGTTAAATCGCACGATCTTGCTTACATGGCAATGCAGCGATGTGTGCTTCATCGCTGAACAGCAAATTTTTGTCATTTTCATCTTGATTGCCAACCACCCAGTCTTTTGGCTTGATCTCTTGTGCGAGGTGATTTTTGTAAGGGCACATGTAAAGGTCTTTTACCAAAATTCTTTGTACTGTGCTCCGAGCTAGGCCTAACTGCAGACTACGCCGACGAATCGATGTTCTTGCGTTGTCCTCTACACTATCATGTACAGCCTCAATATTTTCAAGGGAGCGACCTGCCCGACTGCGCACTGGTTTTTTAATGTCCAAAACTGAGCCGATTTCTTCGAACTTAGAAATCAATCTTCGGACAGATGACTCATTTGGTGCATTGTCCCGGCCGAAAATAACGTGCAGTTTCCGCACCGTTTCAGCGAAACATTCTCCGTACTTGTAGTGCACTTTACCTATGACCAAGCATTGATCCGTCATGTAGCGATTCATGACCACAAATGGGACCTAATACTGATAACATAGCTGATTATTTGGGAATTCCTATCGAAATACATATAAGGATAAGACGCTCCTAAAATCCGGCGTTCTTACTGGGACACCCTTTAGTTCCAGACGAGGCACAGAGATGTTTTTCTTAGTTTTAGGAGTTAAATGGCTTTTGGAAAATACAAGTTTAGATTTTGAAACTGCTCCGTTTTGCACTTGAACATATACTGTAGTTGCATAGCAAATGTTCGAAGCATCGGTGAAACAGTGTAACTCGATTGAGGTTGGTTCTAAACCAACATATCTTGGTATTGAAACATTAGAAATGCTGACAATATCACGTTTTATTTCTTGCCACTCCTTGCATTTGTCCTCGGTTAGGGGCACGTCCCAGTCCAAATTTTCTTCCCACAAACTTTGAATAAAAAGCTTCGCTTTAAATGTTACAGGGATAAATAGACCAGAAGGGTCAAATATTGAGGATACGAGTTTCAAAACAGTCCTCTTTGTACAAATATCTTCTATACAGTTACTTGGTTTTATGCTTAAAGTGTCCTCTGTAGTATCCCACTTTACACCCAAGACATTTACATTTGATTCATCTTCTTTTGTGTTAAAGAAGAACAATGAGGATGAGGCGAAGGATTTTCATCCTGCTGCCATAAAGGAAAACTGAATCTATCTACCACCATACCGAGAAATCTATTATATCCAGAGCCTACTTAGTGGAGCAAATCATTGGAGCAGAAACTACAAAGAGAACATTAGATCGTACAACTCTCCGCTCGCAATGGTCAGCACTCGAGCTAAAATTGAAGTACATAACGGTGTAGGGCCTTTCATGTATAAGGTGCACGACACAATTTATGTTTGAATTGGCACCTTACAACTGTCAGAAGGGGTGCATCCCACATATGCCAAAATTCATATCTACGACGTCAAAACCGCTGTTCAAGAAAGAATGCTAAACAAAGCTAATGGCTCTTGCAGCACTGTACTCATGCACATGTTGATTGAACATTTGGTATATTAATCCATACGCGCAAGTTTCAGTCGATACAACGAAGCAACTTCTAACAACGTTGCTATAATATCCAAATTTATTATTCGTGCGAGTTCGCACGGGTTCACCTAGTTTTTTATATTTCTTAAGTACAAATTTTCAAATACAAAAATTTCAAAAAAACAAAAAGTAATAATGCTTGGTATAATACAGTGATTTGAGCAATATGAAAGAAAGATTGATTTTCCTGTAAGATTGTTAGAATAGTGAAAAATAGCCAAAGTGTTTCAAATGAAACAAAACAAGTGTATAATGGGTTAAAAAAATCAATATAAGCATTCAATTAAGAAAGCCAAAATAAAACATAACACAAATGTCATAGAAAAAAGTAAATACAAATGTAAAACTGCTTGGCAAGTCATTAAAACCAGTAGCAGTTCCTCAATCGATTCAAAAACACTTTCTTTTTTTGAAAGTAACAACTTCTTAAGTGTTTTGCAATTTGGATTTAGAAGGGGCAAGTGTACGTACATCAGACGCAATAGACAAATTGATTAATGAGGTACTAAATGGTCTTTGAGAGGTCACTTGCTCAGGCTATCTTCTGCGACCTAAGTAAAGCTTTTTGATTGTGTGGATCATGATGACCTAACAACGAAATTAAGTTTTTACGGTATCAATGGAACTCCACTTTCTTTTTTCAAGCCATACTTAAACAATATAATATAAAAAGTTAATATTAGTGGAGAATGGTCCCAAGAATTAAAAATAAAATGGTGTGCCTCAGGAGTGCTGTTCTAGGTTCTCTGTTATTTTTTATTTGTATTAACGACCCAGAATATATAACTCGTAAAACTTATTTGTATGCAGGTGATACAACATTTTTAAATAAAAATCCCGATCTTAAACAACTTCAAGAGTTTGCTCAAAACTCAATTGATGAAGCCTCTATATTTGGTTTGAATCTAATGGCTTCCTCTTAAACAAAGATAAAACTAAAAAAAAAAAATCCATGGCCTTAGACCGTGCAAATTTAATATTTTGGATGGTATACACATACACATAACAGATTATATCAATTTATCCAGGCTCTCTCGCTTTTTTCCATTGTAATATTCACGCAAACCCAAATTAAAATAGTAAATATTTCATTTCAACCAAGTCAGTAAAAGTTTGTAGCAAACTGTTAAATTAGCAAACTTATTGACTGTTTACAATTAACATATGTTCTTCTTCTCACTTTTAATTTCTAACAACAGCTGGAGTTTCATAACAATTTTTGTTTCCCATATGTTAATCTTATAAAGAAATACAAAACTTTAAAGGGCCTCAGGGCCTCACTCTCTAATTATTTTCCTAAAAATAAAGATTCCTGCACAACTTCACGTTACGCTCTTTCCAATGACACTAAAAACATGTCAATCGGTTCAGTCGTTTCGGACGAGTAATTGTTACAAAAAACCTAAATAAGTAGTAGACTTCCTCTTATCCGGACTCCTCGGGACCGAGGCCAGTCCGGATAATGGTTTTTCCGGTTAAACTGATGTCCCCAAAAACTCGTTAAAATGGACCGTTTACTGTGATATTCGACTTAAATTTAGGAGAGCATATTGTATTTAGACACGTGATCACTGGTCTCAAATCTCTCCCACGAGAACAGTCGTTTCAGTACCGCCCACTTCCTGCCAATCTAGTCCGGTTCAACCAATGTGCTGATAAAAATTGTCCGGTTAAAGAGATGTCATTTCCGCCGAGTGTAGTCCGGTTAAACCGATGTCTTGTTAAAAGGTGTCCGTATAAGTGGGAGTCTACTGTATAGATACTTGGCTATACAAGCGTCTAGGCATCCAGTGCAACTCCGAGGATTGTGGATCAGAACACCCCCCACAACCGCACCATGTCGTACGCTTCCAAATCATACCGGCGCATCAGCATAGCCTAACTGTTCGCGGAAAATTGTTATCACTGTCGTTGTCAAAATGTATCGTTTGTTGGTTAAATTTAAATTAAATATAATTAAACTGTCATAACCTAACCAAACTTGCTGATAATGAAAAACTCAAATGAAGGTTTACTAATCAAAAAAATAGTTCTTTTCTAAAAATAAAATCATAAATGTCTCAAATTCATTTTTATAATTTTTTAATTATAAAATTAAACTGTCATAACCTAACCAAACCAACTAAACTTGCTGATATGAAAAAATTGTTGACAATCAGTTAGTGCTACCAGTGGGATTCGAACCCGGGACCTTCAGATTATCAGCCCGACACGCTATCCACTACACCACCAAGGCTCATTTTCAGCTGCGTATCGTTGGGGTTGCGGTAATGGTTGACGTCACGCCATCGGCACGGAGCGGTGGTGGGGGGTTTTCCGATCTGATCCACGATCCTCGGAGTTGCACTGGCTGCCTAGACGCTTATCTTGGCTATAGCAACTTATAGTCAATGATAACATCATTCTATGTGATAAATTTTTTTTCAATCCCTATAATTTTATCGCTTATTTGAAGATGTATTTTCTTTAACTATATTTATTTGCTTTTGGAAGACAAACTATTTTTCATCCTAAATCTTTGATTCTAGGATACCACTACAGAGTAACACTCGGTTTCGCAAAACCTTCCAAAGCTGAACAAACCATTGAGGGGCAAATCAAAATTACCTTACATGGTGAAAAAACTGCAAGAGAATGTGACCTGACACCGAGGTGAGAGTGACTTGGATAGAAAAATACAAGGTGCAACCTATTACAATGAATTATTTAAAGTATTGCCTCCTTAGCAAATTGCCCATATAGGGATGATGAAACGAGGGAATAAAATACTTTATTAATAATTGATTTAAAAAGGAAAAATATTTAAAAAAAACATTAACACTTCACTGTGAACATATTAGAACAACATAACATAATCAAGCAGCTGATATAAAAAGATACTTAAAAAAATAAAATCCTCAACAAAGAAAGGAATAAGCTATCTTACTATTTATTGGTATTGAACTATCAATTTCATATAAGATAAAATATATAAGATCATTATTTTCATTAGATATTCTTTTGAATACATTGGATATGCCAAGTTAGAATATGAAATCCTACTAATATTATAAATGAGAAAGTTTGGATGTATGGATGTATGTTTGTGACAAGTGAACGCGAAAAGTACTGGTCGGATTGGGCTGAAATTTGGCATGATGATAGCTCACATTCCCGATTAACATATAGGCATATTTTTATTTCAAAAATCCTTTCGGGCTCCGCCCCAGTGGCTCTGGAGTTTCCCATGTTAACCTTATGAGAAATGGAATTATTGAATCTTAACAGCTGTTTCAATTAAACAAGTTGGTTCTGTTCTATGATGTTCAATAGCATTAAAGTTACAAGGATTACCAACAGGGTGCAGCACTATTATTTCTTTTACATTTATGACAACAGCCAATTTGCAACCAAAAGGTGAGTGAGCGTAGCGAACGAACTTCAACCTGGAGGCGAGTACGCGTAGCGAACGAGCTAACCTGAAGGCAAGTGAGCGCAGCGAACGAGCTCTAACCTAAAGGTGAGTGAACGTAGCGAACGAGCTCCAACCTAAAGGTGAGTGAGCGTAGCGAACAAACTTCAGCCAGGACGTGATTGAGCCATGCGAACGAGATAATCTTGAAAATTAAGAAGTTAAACGGGGCAAAGCCCGCGGGTTACAGCTAGTTAATAATAAAAATGAACAAAGTGCTCGCCCATCTTCAGACAAAATCATTGTAAGTACATTTTCCTGTCAAATATACAAAGAAAAATTTATCTCTTACAGAGATTTTAGAAATTTTAATGAAGCAATTTTTTTGTCCGATGTTAATTTAACACCTTGGCACTCCATACATACCCTGGAGTCAGTTGATGATATGGTCGATTCACTTAATGAAACCATTTTAAATTGTATGACAAGCACGCTCCAATTGTCAACCGTAGGGTTAGTAAAAGCCAATCCGTTCCTTGGATTAGTGAGGAGATCAATGGTTTAATGGCTCGGCGGGACTCAGTACATTGCAGAGCCAAAATAACTAGAGATCAGGTGCTCGTGGCCCACTACTGCCAGCTTAGAAATCAAGTAAAACAACATTTACGTAATGCTCGACTTCAATATTATCATAGATTGTTTTCTGTAGGAAAGCAATCCTCTGTTGTTTGCTGGCGTAATCTAAAACATTTTGGATTTGGAAAGCATGTTAAAGTTGTTCCCATATCAATTCCCTTGAACAATTTCAATAATTATTTTTTATCAGTTTCATCACAGGCAAACGGTACAATAGTTCAGAACCATTTAACTGAGTTAAAATTAACCATTACTTAGTTAAAATTTCCCTTGCCAAATCCTATCACTAAATTTAACTTCAAGCCTATATTGCAAATTGATGTTTTGAAGGCTATAGGGCAGTTAACGTCTGACGCCACTGGTTCTGACAGAATCCCAATTTCTTTAAATAAACGTATCTTGTTTGCTCTCCTTCCAACATTAACTTTCATATTTAATACTTCACTAAGATCAGGTATTTCCCCAGAAAAGGGGAAGTCTGCGCTTGTCCGTCCCTTGAATAAATCTCATCCCCATCTCTTCCGCAAGACTACAGACCAATTAGCATTCTTCCCGCCCTTTCTAAAGCACTAGAAAGAGTCATTCACTCTCAAGTTTCTGATTTCTTGGCACAAAATAACATCCTCAATAGCTTTCAATCGGGTTTTCGTAAATCATTCAGCACTGAAACAGCAATGCTTCATGTAACTGATGACATACGATTTGCTATGGATCGTAGCTAATGTACTATCTTAACATTATTTGATTTCAGTAAAGCCTTCGATACCGTAAATCATAGCATTCTTCTAGCTAAACTCCAACTTTTAGGTTTCTCTGATAATTCACTAAAATGGATGAGATCATATCTTCAGAGCCGAAAGCAGTGTGTGTGTCATGACAACTTGACGTCCGACTGGAGACAAGTTCCCTGCGGAGTTCCTCAGGGTTCAATTCTTGGTCCTCTGCTTTTCACCATTTACATCAATGAAATCGGTACAGTTCTACACCATGTAAAGTTTCATTCGTACGCTGACGACTTGCAATCTATTCTCATTTTAAAGTGAACGATGCAAATGAATCTATACACTTGATGAACCACAACATCGACAGAATTGTCCAATGGGCAGAAAAGAATGGACTTAGGGCAGAAAGTGGACCTAGACAATTTACCAAAAATCACTGTAAACGAAACCACTTTGCAATACCAGGACAAAGTAAAAAGTCTTGGTTTGACTTTAAACCGCACATATTAGACTGGTCTGACACGGTGGTAAGCACTTGTAAAAGAGTGTTTGCCGCTGTTCACACACTGAAGAAGATGCAACGACTTCTACCTTTTCACATTAAACTCTTACTAGTCAAATCACTCGTGTTTCCACACTTTAACTTCTGTAACACTGTGTTTAATGGTATGACTGTGGCTTTGGCAACAAAATTACACAGAGTACAAAATTATTGTGTTCGATTCTTGTTCAATCTTAGGCGTGATGACCATGTCACACCCTATTACATAAATGAATGAATTTTGAAATTAGAGGACATCAGAAAAATATGAATACTTTTCATTACTCATTCGGCCATCAATCTTGGAATTCCAAATTATCTTGCAAAGAATTTTAAATGTTAATTTTAAATGAATGAAAGAGGCGCAAGGGATACCCACTCTGGCTCGTCCACGCTTCGCATTTCTCATCACAGAACAACTGTTTATAACAAATTATTTTTAGCAACAGCTTGCCGCCTATGGAACTCCATACCTTTTCACGTTAAATCCATAGAAAACTGATCCCGACTGATGGTGGCGCAGAAAGGATATTACCTTGACCGAACGGCCGTAGCTTGGCAGGATGGCATGCGTTAGGCCTAGATGCAACAGAGGGTGTATGTGTGTGTGTGAATGTATGTTAAGGAAGATTAATGTAAACTAAGATTAATGCTATTTTATAACTTGGTTTGTTACAAAATGTATAGTATTTTTTGTTAATATTTTGTTGTTGTTATTATTAGTTTTTTAGAGGTTAACTGTAAGAAAGGACCATGAGGTCCTAAGTTCGCCTCAATAAAGAAGGATTTTCTTTCATTCATTAAAATATTGATCAATTGAATAAATTAATGCTTTTGCATTGACCCACATGAATCCAGCAGCAGACAAACTTTAATCCCCATAATCAAACATCAATGGAGATATTGACTAATTTTTTGATCCTGTGGAGGACGTTATTTTGATCTCACTATAAAAGGTGTTTGATGTAAATACTATTACAAATGATTTATTGTTTGTGCAGTTCATGCTGGTTGACGCCGATTAGTTTAGGCCTATATTTTTTTTTTATAATTATAATGAAAGCTGTTGATTGTTCATTTATTTTTTTCAAAAAATTGAAGAATCTTGAATTGAAACACATTAAATTTTTAGCCGACCCCAGAAGTTTGTCCATGGGACTTTACATAAGTTCCTCAACACAGACACTGTAGACACTGGTCCAGTCCACAAGGCTGATGTTCGCTGGAGAAGAAACTCCAATGTGCTGTCACCAACATCTCTGTTCAACTGTGCACTGTCCTGCAATGACCATCTGTACGTACGGAACGTCACAGTGGATGTCACCAGCTCTACATTAGCTAGAGGGTTGGTAAAACATCTCAGTATAATAATAAAAAATGTTTCAGTTTTATTTATTAAGGTTCACTAGTGGTTGTTGGGATATAAGTTCCCAAAAAGCTCAAATGTAAAACACATTATTTTTAAATTATTTAAACAAACTCAGAATCAAATTATCTCCTTTTTAGTGAATTTCCCATATAGGGAATAAGCTATTACCGTAGGTCTCGTGGTAAAACCTAGACCCGGGACCGATTTACTTTTTTGTTTTGGGATCCACAGAGGCCATAAACACCCTTTGTTCAAATTAATATATATATATATGAGTCATTTAATAAATTAATAACTTAAATGGTAACTTACTAAATGTTTAATTATTTATTTCATTTACTAATGTATATTCATAAATTCACATATATATGTGTGTGTGTGTCTGTTAGCGCGATAACTCGAGCAAAATTGATCCGATTTTGATTAAATTTGGTACAAACGTGTAAACCTAAATTCAATCTAACGAGTTGTTGATCCAGCATGATCGGACTATGGGAACGGGGGTTTGTGGGGTAAAAATTGGGTTTTCCCATTTTGGACTCTATTAAAACACAAAATTTCAAGATTTCTTTCTAAACCGTTTTGTAGAAATAAAAAATAAAATAATTTTGTATATTGAAGCGTTGTTTTATGCCTAACGGTTATGGAGAAATTGAAAAAATTTTAAACTTAAAATTCCGATGTTATTCTTATGGAGAATAAATAAACTGTTGTAGTTTGCTTGTTTATGGATATACTAGCAGTTACCAGGCGCGCATTGCTGCCCTAACAACTATTATTTAAATGGTAATTTGTTCTTCACGATAAATAATAAAAAATGTACACCAAAAACAAAAATAGAATATTTATTTTACTTAATTGCCATGGATAAACAATGTTTTTTGTATATACATTTAAGTTATTATTTAACTCACTAAAATAGGTATTGCCATCCCTTTTATTGTTTATAATACTTTGATAAAGGTTTTACTTTTTATGTTTACATATTTAAAAATGGAGAAGTTAAACGTTGTTGAGTGCACAGGTGTGCTGCGATTGGGGTTTAATATATTTGGACTTATCCAAAAGTAAAATAGTTCTCTGTGCCGCATTCTGTGGAAACAGTGTGGCACTATTTCAAATCATGACTAATATAGAATGTTGTGATCCTTTAAACCTACAAAACAGTTGGTGAAAGTAAACATCTGCTTTTAAATTATATTTATTTGTAAAAATTGTAGTTCCAAAAGTCTGACATTGGACCCCTTAAAAAACCCCCTGGGCGGAGCCCTTTTGATGGATCTGCACCAAACTTCACACAAACCATCCTTGAATAATGCTTAATAATGCCTAAAAGTTTCATTCCAATCCGCCAAGCGTTTTTGGAGTCCATAGGGTATATACCTACATACATACATACATATGTACATACGTACATACATACATAAGTACATACTTCCTCTTTTATAGATATAGATTTTAATCAAATTTGGCAATTTTGTTTATTTCATACTAAGCTATCAACATTTCAATTAAAAAAACACCTCAATACCTTCCCTGTAGCAGCAAACCTAAGTAGGCCTACTCCATTAAAATTAATGTTATTTGAATAAGGAAATAAACCTCACAATTTTAAGGGAATATTTTAGTATAAATCCAGCCAAGAAAATGGAAATTTGCTTAGTCTGCAGGTTTGCTGGGGGGGGGGGGGGGTATTATTTTTATGGTTTAGCCTCTGGATCTCTGATTTTTACAACAAAAGGTTTAAATTACCTGTATCCCTCAAAGATCGCCTGACGGATACAGGTAATTTAAACCTTTTGTTGTATCAAATTATTGATTTGTCAGGATAGATATCCCTGTAGGGTAGATATCTTCTGTGTAAAAAAACAGTCTCTTAATTGTTTACTTTTGTTGATGCTATTTTCAAGAAATAATCTGCAAACATAATAATTGGTTGTGAATAAATACTGGTTTACTAAGGTAGCTTTAGTCTTGAGGCTAATGTTAAAAAAATTGCTTCCCTGATTGGAATTTTGGAAATCGTACTTGTGACATATGAAAAGGCATATAAGGTGTGTTGAGATAATCTTAGTTCTTGGTAAAAATCGCTAAATTAGCACCCTGACCCAGTTATTATTTCTAATTTTATACTCCTTTTGTAAATGTTTCACAAAATTAGTGTTATGGCATCCCATTGATAACTTAACCCAAGATTTTTTTTTCTGATAAACATATAAAAACTACTCTACGTGCAAGTTCATGTGGTGGTATTACTCATGGTGTGATAGATTTGACATATTTGATCAAAATAGGCATATTTAAACGTTCAGCGGGTGGTTCAGTTTACCACACCTATGTATTCATTTGCTACTGTTCTATTTCTAATCCAAGAATATTAAACACACATCTTGTTTCAACAAACTCTATTTCAAAACTAAACCAATGTTTACAAAAATATGTTTACAAAAATCATCTGTCAACAAAAGATATTTAAACACAAATAAATCATATGACTAAAAGAACAGACTTAATACAACAGCTACTTTGTTCACATTTTAAATTGTTTAATTTTTAATAGTATAAAATTTTTGTTCAATATATTCATTATCATTTTGTTTGAAAACATTTTAACGTTTTTACATTTTATTAAGGGTTAAAAAAGCTAATCGTCAGCTGATTCTTAACTCTTTAGCCACTGGTTAGGGTTCCATTACCCTTACCTTAGGGTTCGAGCCCTCTCCCGTCTTTCTACGACTTCCCAGTCGCCCACAATTTTGAAGGTAAGAATTACATTGTGTAATTAAATATATAGTTTCTATTTAAATGTTTGTAACTTCATTATTTTTGCAGCCCTAAGTTCAATTCTTTTGATTTGAGCCATCTTACATGATTCTACTTCTTATCATACGCTTAACAAATTTACATAAAAATACACAAATTTGCAAATTGCGCAGTATAATAATTGATTTCAATATTCAAAGATTTAACGAAAAAGTCTCAATTATTATAGGTAACGTTATTCATAATAGTAAACAGTATATTGCAGAATGGACTGGCAAATAAGTAATCCAAAATGTTAATATTGTGTGCAGGCTTGATGATAAATCACGATCAGCTGTATTTATGCAAACAAAAATCTGCTGTAAATGGCTTTTAATGCTTTTCTTATGGAGAACATTTTACGTTAGATCTAATTTTGTACTATTCTTCCCCGCCTTCATGGGATAGAGTCCTTTCATTTGATCCCTCTTCCGTCATTCTACAACTTCCCATTCGCCCAAAATTTCTATGCAAAGAATCACCTTACGTAAATAAATATACAGGGTGCTCATAAAAGGTGTGGACATAATTTACATAGTGATTCCTTGGGTCAAAATAAAGAGAATATCAAGAATAATATTTTTTTTCAAAAATCGCTCCGTTAACCAGATATCTGCCGTTCTGTATATTTTACATAAACGTTTTTATCTTTGGACTTTTTCAACCGATCTTTATGAAACTAATGAACTAAACTATGTATGTTAAGGCAGAAGAGACCAAAGTTAGAAAAACATTTCATCATGATTCAAAAATTTCAAAATGGCGGCCATTTTAATGTTTTAAACTTAAATTACTCAAAAACGACTGATTTTATGAATAAAAAATCACATACTCTTTTTTTTAGCATTTTTAATTCTTTATTAAACGATACCAAGTGTAAAAAGATTGAATAAGAAATAGCTGAAATATTACGATTTTTAGTTGTAGAATGGGGCAAACCTGACTAGCTTCTGCCTTATTCTACCCCATTTGAAAACTAAAAATTATGTCTCCACCTTTTCCGAACACCCTGTATAGATGTTGCCTGTGTTGCTGTCAGCACAACATACCTTCCACCGGTGCCATATCTCCTGTATAACCAGTGTCTGATGGTTGATCAGTTAGGCCTAAATGTTTTGTTTGTTGTATCCACGCTATCATTGTAATTTTTTAATTCTAAAAAAATCCACCGACGAGAAGAGCAGACATTCTGACATGAAGATGTGTTACTCGAGTTATTGTGTTCGCGGAAACATACATAAACATTTCATCGAATCATGTTTTTGGCCTCCGGGGATATAAAAATGAGAAAGTAAATCGGTTCTGGGTCTAGCTCTTTCTGTGCCACCTCTGGTGGTACTAGCTTCTTCTTAATAGGGCAATTCGCTAAATGTGTCACTCAAATGTTTACCTAATTTGAAGAAACCTCTGTTGAAGTTTAAAGATGCATATTTTTCATTAAATTATATTTAAATTGCATGTATATAATTTGTAGTGGAGACTGGGGTGGTCACTTCATTTTTTAAGAATCTAGGTGACGTGGATTAGTTTTGTGAAGTGTTTCTGTCTGGTGGCTTTTTGAGTAGACACTACCTCGTTTCTTTTCAAGATCTCAGTAGAGACTTTCATGTTACTGATGATAGAGTGATTTTAGGCTATACAATTTTATCTACTTCATATCCAGTTATTTACAAGAAATATACTTTTAACTAGGTGAAACCCGTCAAAATCGACGGTTACTCTCAAGGCTTACGACTCTAGTTCATCTACGGAAAGCTAGGTTTAGTGGAATATACTTCAAGTAGCTGCCTAAATAGTATTTACTTTTTATGCCTTTTTTTTAGCCGAAATGTCGTGTTATTTTCAATCATGTTAACAACCCAGTGCACGGTCCGTAACATAGGATACTGCAAATAATTTGTCAAGATAGGTACCATTTTAGGCAAGGTTTCTGTCTTTGGATGTTATTAGACATGATAAGAGTACAATAAACTTCTTCTGTAGATAAATAATCTGCTGGAGAAATATAAGCCGAATTATAAATGTTACAATGCGAGTTCAAGCATTTTGTAACTATATGGGTAAGTACATAGTATTTTTTAGGCTGCTGCTTAGTGCACTTAAAGAATATATATTTTAGAGTAAATTAAATGGTTTTTGTTGCTGAGTAGCGCTAGTAAACATGTACAACCCAT